GATTAAGACTAAACAAAGCCTAAACAAAATTGATTAAGGAATTATCAAAACAAATTAGCCAAGAATTAAACTAATAATCGCAACTAAGATCAGAAATTAGAACAAATTAGAAACAAACAATCAGAAACCAACACATAATCAGAATCAAAACAGAATTGGCAAAAAAAATCAAAATGAAAATTAACCTAGAAATTAAAAACTACAACATCAATTTAAACAAGAAATGATTGAACAAGGAAGAAAAAACTCAACGACTTGGAATGAACAATCAAAATTAAACCTAGGGCATTTTGAATAAAACCTATACCTAAGCTAATGATGAAATTGAAAAACAGACTCGTGAAACAGAAACAATCATGGAATTAACTCAAAACAACACGCAAAAAGAAGAAAACAGAAACAAAATTGGAACAAACTCACCGATTGTGACTCTAGGGTTCTGCCGACTCGTCACCTCACAATTCAACCAACTCCGGCGAGATTCGAGTGCTTCTAATGACGGATTCGACAGGAGGGAAGTGAGGAGGTCACGCGGTGTCAATTTGGTAGGGTTTGGGGAACCTAGGGCTTTGACCGGAAATTTCAAATTGATATTCGAGAGGTTCCATTTAGGTTCGAGGGACGGGGTTTGGGGGGTTTGAAAGAGGAGGTCACGGCGGTTCTACGGTGTTAATTTGATGGGAAACGCAGAAAGTTGAGTTTTGGCCGAAAAACTTCGACTTAAGATTCGAAGAGTTCGGTCAGTGTTTGAAGGAAATGGCTTGGGTATTTGGGATGAGGGGGTTGAGGCGTGTCTATGGTGTTCATGGGGCGGGATTTGGACGCCGGCGCTGCCATTAACGGCGGTGGGAAATGAGGGCGGCGTCGTTAGGGTTTCTGATGAAGGGTGAGTGAGGGAGACGAGACGGGGTATGGGGGGGGGGGTCGATTAGGACAGTTAAATATCAGTGACTAACCTGTTCTGAGCCGTTGATTTGATTAACCTCGACGGCTGGGATTGCTTGACGCCAAAACGGCGTCGTTTTGAGTCCATCGGGGCAGGCCGGGTTTGGTGAGATGGATTTGGGCCAGGGATGATCTTTGGGCTGGGTAATTCAATTAAATGATCCAAATGTGGTTTATTATTAAGACCACCTATTTTAATAGCTTTCTCCTTCTTTTTTATTTAATTTTGTTTTCCTTTTGGTATTTTTCTGATTTTATAAAAATGTAAAAATTAAAGTAAAGACCTAATATATTTTCAAAGTTAATCTAATCAATTCCTAAAATTGTTTAAAATCTATTTTGTGACAAATTCAACAATTAACAACTAAAGATGCAAAAGTAGACTATTTTTTGTTATTTTCTTCATATTTTGTTCTAAAACCACTTAACCAGTAATTGATCCTAAAATATGAAATTAGATCCTAAATGTAAATGTCAAGCTTACTTTTATATTTTCATATGAATAAAAATGCACAAATAAAATGCAAACAATTATTAGAAATAACACAAAAATTCACAAAAATTGTAAAAATAAAGAAAAAAAAATCCTTTTGTTTGAATTTTTTTTGGAACAATTCATATAGGGCAAAAATCACGTGCTCACAACATTGTCCATCTTCCCACCATGGAATCGCATCTTGTTGCATATCTCCATGGTTCTAGCAAAGTAGCTAGTGACAAATTCTCCTTCATTCATCTGAAAAGTTTCGAAGTCCTTCCTCAAGGCTTGAAGTTGTGCTTGCTTCACTCTTGTAGAGCCTTGATACTTATTTTTCATGGTATCCATATGTCCTTGGAAGTTGTTTGCGAAGAATAGTTTCCAAGATGGGACGCTCATTAGCCTGTAAGAGAAAATTCTTCGCCTTTAAATCGTTTCGTTTTTTTTGCTTCGAACTCAGTTTTTTGAACATCCGTCTAAGTTTTGCCTATTGTTGGTGCTTTAATGCCATCCTCAACAATTGGCCAATACTCTTTTGACCGTAAGAGGTTCTCCATCAGCATACTCCAATGATCATAGTGACCATCCAAACGGGAAATAGTTGCTTGCACAAATTGCTCTTTGAAGCGAGAGATGAAGAATAATTTTTTTCTGGTAAACTCTCTCTCACGGGTGTTTCTTGATGGTAGGCTATAATCCCGTGTTTAGCCGCTTATTGCACTCTAATTCATTGTACTTTACTTGTGTTGAGCTTTAATTAGTAGTGTTTTGCACTTATTTTGTGTTTTATATCGTGTAGGAGTGATTTTCGAGTTATGTAGATGTTGTGGAGCTAATTCGAACTATTTGGAGCTTTGAAGTCTGAGTAGAAGCCCAACCAATTAAGCGGGATCACGTTCGGAGGTCAAAAAACCAAGTCTAGACATCACAAAATGAGAAAATGAATTCACTCTGAGAAAATTACACTACCGCCTCGCGAGCCTCATAGCGCTGGTGCAATTTTCCTCCAAAGTGAAAAAAACTCAATTTCTGGCCAAATTTACACAGCCGCGCCGCATAGGTTGGCGCGAGGTGCCGCGCGGCAGTGCAAAAAGTGGCTAGAAATGATTTTTTTGGCACATTCTGGAATTTCCTACATGCGCGCTGCATGGGACGGCGCGGAGTGCGGCGTGGTAGCACAAAAATGTTAGAGTGACTTCCCATTTCCGCTAAAAAGGATAGTTTCATCCGGGGTTTATTTTGGGGCGGCTTAAATACACCAAAACACCATTATAGATGAACTTTTGACACTGCCAAGGAGAAGTGGGAAGAACACAAGCACAAGGATTTCATCATTCCTTCCTCACTCAAGATCCGGGTTTGGATTGAATTTATGTTTTCCTATACTTTAGTTACATTTATGAAGAACTTCTCCATGTCTATGGAGTAGTTCCTTTTGGGTTTTGATGGATTTAGTGTATTGTTGATTGTTTGTAGATTATAACTCTATTTTTATGTATTTGAATCGTATTTGGAAGATTTAATTGTTGCATCTATATTCACCTGTTCTTGTAATCGAAAGAGGCATAACTTGTGATATCTTTGCATTATACCGTTGGTTGAGTTCATAGATTCTTCTAAGTAATGGAAAGAGGCTAGTTGAATCGTTGATTAAATCTAATTAGGAAAATAATCGAAAGAAGTTTTTCTAATGACCGATCTACTACGCATTCTTGCATATCTTCACAGTGCTTAAATTGGTTCATCTCGTGAGGTTAAGACTTAATCGAGAGAGGAGTTTCCCCTGAGTGTTTGAACTAATAATATAGTGAATTCGAGAGACTCACTTGAACATTGGAAGTGAATTATCTAGAGTTAGATCCCGAACAATTATCGTGCACCTATCCTGCCAAAACCCTATCCTCTCCCACTGATAACCTTAATTGCTTATTCCTTGTTTCGATAGTCACTAGTCAATAGCTGTAGATTTTAGATTCTTAGTTAAATTTTATTATTAATCATATAAATCTAAACTGTAGATCTTCCTGGATAGCAATCAAGCTAGAAACTACGAAAATACTGTTTATATCCAATCCTTGTGGACACGATATTATACTATACTATCTTTGATTAGCGAGCACAATTTAAATGTATGTTTTGCGCTCGTCATTTCTCTATTTTCTGAATCTAACCTTGCTCTTGAATCTCTAATAAAATGGAGCAGATAGAAAAGTAGACAAGCTGTTATTTTTTAATACTACAACTCACACTTTTATTTGCAACAGAAGAAGCCATTATATAGGTTTTTACAGAGATTTCATGACTACGCATGAAACCCACAAACATTAACTAGGACTCCTAATAGACTCCACGCTATGTCAACTAAAACTAATCGTCCACTTCCTAATAACCAGGAGCTGACAAATTCAACCAAATAAAAGAGCAAACAAACATTAAATAAATAATTGTTAAATAAAAGGATAATCCCAACATATATGGGAATGAGAGATCTTTTAGCTGACTTCTAATTGTAGCTAATGTGGCTTGAGAAATGGAAATTCTGTTGCTAGATATACTAGTTTCCGAAGTTTTTTATACTTTCAGCAAGTTATACGGAAATATGAGGCATATTTTGGTTGAAAAATTTTAATTTTATTCCTGCAATAGATGATTACATAGTTCAATGACCATTCTTGAAATTTACCAGATAATTAATACTGTCAACTAGCGCTTAAAACATGGCTAAATAGATACTGCTAAGAGCTCAAAAATAATTCTGCTGGAGAAGTAATTGCTCTAAAGCATGGCTTATTGCCATACTGCTTATGTAGTCTTTAATCTGTTAGCATGGTTTGTTTTGTTAAATGGTTATCTATAATGTAATCTTGGGGTATTGATGATCTTCTCTACTTGAGATAATCATGGACTAGCTATATGCTTTTCAGCTTGTCAAGTAAGTCAGCATGGTGATAATTATACCTCGAAGGAAGAAAGCAGGTATACGCCCAGTATAATCCCACATGTGGGGTCTGGAGGTAATGTGTACGCAAATCTTACCCCCTATTTTATGCAGGTAGAGAGACTGTTTCCAGAGACCCTCAGCTCAGGCAAGTACAGTTAGAACAGTAAAGCAAATTAAAATATAGCAAGAGTAAAGAGTTATAGGAGAAGAGGTAGTAGTTCAGCTAGCTAGTAACTAAACCGAAGTAGAAGCAACATCAGAGAATACTAGAAATCTAATAAAAAGACAAACAAAGTAATACTACAACTACCGGAATGGAAGGAGAAGAAAGAGGTATATTTACAGGAAATAAGTCTGTAAGCAGCAATTCTATGAGGTGTTTTATTTCAATAATAAATGTCGAAAGACAAAAAGAATTTCTTTATGTACAAAGAAAAGAATATACTCATTCAAATACTTATATGATCGAAGGCGTATAATTCTGTCCCTCATCATCCCAGTGAGCTGAAGCTTCAATTGTAGACATACTAAGCTTCTTTTACTTGTCGTCTATGATCCAGTTTCAGAAACAGATTCAATTTATTTTTGGAATCTTTTAGGGGGTACGGAGTATGGCACTGTAGTACTTTCTGCTACTTTTCTCTGCTAACCTACAATGGAATGACTATATTACATGTATGCATATCATTACACTAGTGCAACCTCTGTAGCTTTCTTAGGGTGCGGCCCTTCCCTGAACTCTGTGTGAACGCAGGATGCCTTGTGCACCGGGCGGCCTCTTTTTTCATATCGCTACACTAGTGCAACCTCTGAAGCTTTCTCAGAATGACTCTTTTTGATAAAATGTACATAGAGGTCTGTCCTGCTTGAGTCACACTCGGGAAGTGTAGCATTTCAACCTCCATCTGACATGTTTTTCGCGAATTGCACTAGATTCCGCCAGTTTTCTGGCTCAAACAACCGCTTGTTCATTCTCAAGAATGTGAATGCACTCAATCCATTTCCAGATTCTGATCTGCTTGTTGCCAAAACTTGAGAATATGCTCCTCCATCATACCTCTCTAAAGCATTTTCTCCAGCAAGTTCTACTTCAGCGGTTCTAGTTGCATTTTTTACTTGTCGAACTAAGCCTTCTGGTGAGCAATTTGCACTCTGGGGCTGTTCACCATCTCTCATTTCCATACATGTAAAGTTAAATACAACACGATGTTTGGCGAACATACGTGCTATAGGTAGATAGCCATTTGTGTGTCTTGTATTATAGTATCTGCTGTTAATTCTGCAGCATGTGATCTTGTATTGTAATGCCAATGAATCCCAGCTACCTTTCCAGATAGTTTAGCCCCAGTCCCTTGATATATACCCTCTGCTGCTGCTAGGATTCTGTCGCCGTGCTCCACTAGCTTTCCTGAATACCACTCCAGGAAGAACTGTCCATATTCACTGTTCCATGTTCCATCTCTTTGAAAAAATCCAGTATCCTCAGGAAATTGGTTGTACTGTCCGGAGTCATGAGGCCCTCCCTGGCCCCAGTCATCCTTTCCGGCCGCCTTGGCGGCTGCTGCTAGTGAAGCTCTCATCTACTGCATTGACAAAAAACAAAGTTAGTTTTCTTTTCCAGCATCTGAAGGTCTTCCTAATTTTTTCTGAGACTACTCATGTTATCAACGAATTGGAGCCTTGGAGCAACAGTAAAGTTGTCTCCATGTGACCTATAGGTCACAGGTTCGAGCTGTGGAATCAGCCACCGATGCTTGCATGAGGGTAGGTTGCCTACATCACACCCGTTAGGTCGCAGGTTCGAGCTGTGGAATCAGCCACTGATGCTTGCATGAGAGTAGGCTGCCTACATCACACCCCTTAGGTCACAGGTTCGAGCTGTGAAATCAGTCACTGATGCTTGCATGAGGGTAGGTTGCCTACATTACACCCTTAGAGTGCGGCCCTTCTCCGGACCATGCGTAAACGTGGGATGCTTCGTGCACTAGACTACTCATGTAATCAACAAGATTCTTTAATATTTCAAGCCATAGATGCAAGTTGTTACCTTGTCATAGCACTGGAATTCTCCAATTCCAGGAAACCTCCATGTACCATTGCTTTCCGGATAAGATGGATATCTTAGCTCCCCACAAGGACCCATTCCCACTTGAATTTCCTGTAGAAAAAAACAGAATGTCAATTTCAAGTTTTCCTATCATTTTAACTTGGAAAATATAATAGCACTACTACTATTAAAAAAAAGGGCAACCCAGTGCACTAAGCTCTCGCTATGTGTTTGGTCCGGAGAAGGGCCGGATCAGAAGGGTCTATTGCACGCAAGCTGTTTCCACGGCTCAAACCTGTGACCTCCTTATCACATGACAACAACTTTACCAGTTAGACCTCCTTATCACAGAAAAAGGTAAATTTCCTAGTACATTAGACCTTAAACTAGATTATTCATGAATCTATGCAAATAGTGGTAAAATGGCGGTCGAAGATTTACTAAATGAATACTAAGAGCAATCTGGTGCACGAAGCATCTTAGGTCCGGACAAAGGCCGTACCTCAAGGGGGTGTGATGTAGGCAGCCTACCTTAATGCAAGCATTAGAGTGACTGATTCCACGACTCGAAGGAGCTCCCTCCTACTAAATGAATTACTAGTGCATCTTGTTTATAGCCTAATTGAAATAGAACAGAATATTGCTAGATCTTGATAAACATAAACAGCAAAAAAGAGCTATATATTAGTACCTGCAAGAGTCTCCAACATTTCCTCCACACTGATGAAAAGACATAACAACTTGAAGTTTCAAGCCATGTTCTTTGCACATCTTAACAAGTTCAACATAACCTTCCCAATTATATTTCAAAGGTCCATCTTTTTCAACCAAACCCCACCAAGCATCTACCATTACTCCTTCAATTCCAGCAGTTTTCAAGGCCATTAAACTCACGTGCATCGCTCGTGGCTTGTTCAAGTTCCCTCCCATAGTCATAGTATCAAGTGGTAGCATCACAAAAACAGGTACCTTTGTACTACTATTACTGTGAGTAGTTGTTAGCACATGAAGTTTTTCTCTTTTCTCATTAACGATAACTCTCTCATGAGAGAGGTGAGCTTCTTGCATTGAATTCTTTGTTATGAGACGATAAGATGGCTTGGTTTGTGCATAAGAAACCATGCCTAAGAAATCATCAGGTGTTTTAACACCTTTTGTTTCTTTTATATTGATAAAAGAAGTTGATGAACGAAGTGTTAAAGTCATTTCTTGTATAATTTTTTATAATAGAAAGATGTAGGAATGTGTTGTTTTTGATAATAGAAAATGTAGGATTGTGCTGATAATGGAAGATGTGTAGTAAAGGATTAAGTTGTGGATGTTTATTTATAAAGTAAGATCCTTAAAGGTTTGAGGTGGATGAAGGAGACAAGTCTGGTGGGCTATATTTAGAAATTGGTAAAAAATAAAGTGCAAAAAGTTCAAAACAAGTCAGCTAACTTTTTCAAAGTCTGTCCTCTACATGACGTGGTGACACATATATAACGCCCATTTTATATGCCTTTTTATTACATCAAGTCAATAAAAAATCATTTCAATGTTTTTCAATTTTTTCAAATTTTATATCCAGTCAGAGACATGTCATTTTATTCTTCTTATTTCAGCTGTTAAGAAGCAGTTATGGGAAATAATATTTTACTCTGATTGAGAACCGTCTAAATGAAATTTTAAGCTACTAAATTAACCTATGGTACGTGGAATTAGTTACATGAAAAATAAAATACACAATTTATTATACAATATATTAACTTATATTAATAGTGTAAAGTTTATTATCGTGCCGTGTATATAAGTTAAATTCTTAAGAATATTACAGGTAACTCTATGTCGCAGGGGCGGAGCTAGAGTGTCGAGAGGGGATTCGGCCGAACCCAGTAGTTTTGCTTCGAACTATGTATTTGTCTTTAAAAGTTTATTGAATATGTACAAATTATTAATTTAGAATCTAATAATTTAAGGCGACTAAAATTTTGAACCCATAAGATTGAAATCCTAGCTTCGCCTCTACCTGTGTGACATGTCTGATATTTAGAGGTACTTTCCAATTTATCTGTACTTTCGTATTCCAGATCAGATTACAGTGTAATAATAGAAACATTGGAAAAACTGGATAAACATGAACCAGAAGTCCTTGTGTTGGCTGAGTCACCTCTTGTTTTACGTTTACCTCTCTTATTGATTTTGGTGCATACTGCCAATATTTTCTCCACATTTTAGCTGTTCTTAATATGCTAAGGTTATTTTAGTAGGGTCCTTTATTTTGAGACAACGTTATTTTTACCAAGATTTTGGTATAAAATATACATGTATTAATTAATATCAATAACTAACACTGAGTAAATATAATTCCATATTTTATACCGGGATTAGTCTTAGAAAAGTAGCTCTGCAGTTTCCTCCTTCCGACCCTTTTACCTGGGTGAGATAAATTAGGAGGTGATTTCTTTTTATTTATGCAAATTTTGGTGACTAAAGTTACCCGATACTTATTAGAGGTAGCAGATATTTGATAGAATAGTCAAAGAGCATATAAGTTGATCTAGATATCACCATTAGTGGTGGCAAAATGAATTAAAAAAAAACAGTTATCCGTCCATATTATTCACTAAAAAATGGGTTAGATAGTTAATTTTTTAAAAATAGGTCGAATATGGATAAGATTCATATTATACACTTAAAAATGGATAATCAATGGATTTAACTTTTACATTTGCAAAACTCATTTGGGGTTCTCAAGTTTGGGAGATTAAAAATTTTCCTAAAAGTGATCATATTCAAGAAGCCATGTATAATATTAATATCCATATTATTCGTCAGTTAACTCATTTTCTATCCGTATTAAATATAAGTCGAATTAAATAAGTTGGTAATACCCAACTTTTGGCTTTTGGCTTATTTTTGTACTTTTTATGCCTAAAAATAAGTTCTTTTAAGCACTTTTTATCATTGCCAAACACCACATAAACTAAAAAAAGTGCTTAAAAGCGAATAGGCACTTAAAATAAGCCAATCCAAACACCCTCCTAATTTCTTGCAGACTGACACTGAGCCAGTTTATCACGCTTGGGAAAGATTAAAAGCAATTTTAAGAAAATGTCCACACCATGACATTTCTGAACACATGCAACTTTATATTTTTTATCATGGGTTAAAACCCTCTGCTAGAAATGTGGTTGATGCAGCTGCAGGAAGCTCTATAATGGGAAAAACTACGGAGGAAGCATTGCAATTGTTGAACGAGATTTCTGAGAATGCCATCCAATGGCCATCTGAGCGTGTAATCATCAAGAAGGCTTCTACGGTAAATCAGGTTGATGCTTTAAATACACTAACTGTAACGACCCGGCCGGTCATTTTGAAAATTTACGCCCCGATCCCCTGTTAACTGCTTTCCCCGTGTCTTCTTCTGCTATTGTGATTTGTTAGGATGATTCATTTTGAGTTTCGGAGTATTTTGGGACACTTAGTCCCTAAATGAGAGCTTAATTCTTAAAATTTAGATCGTAGTCGGAACAATATGAAGACGGATCCAAAATGGAACTCCGTCGATTCTGTTAGCTCCGTTGGGTGATTTTGGGCTTAGGGGCATGCCCAGATTGTGTTTTTGAGGTCCGTAGCTCATTTAGGCTTTAAATGGCGAAAGTCAAATTTTTGGAGTTTTGGGCCGATAGTGGAATTTTTGATATCGGGGTCAAAATTCGATTCCGAAAGTTGGAGTAGGTTCATAGGGTTGAATATTACTTGTGTGCAAAATTTGGGTCAATCGGACGTGGTTTGGTCGGGTTCGACATCGGTTGTAGAATTTTGAAATTTCAAGTTTATTAAGTTTGGATTGGAGGGTGATTCGTGATTTTAGCGTGTGATTTTAAGGCTCGACTAAGTTTGTATGGTGTTTTAGGATTGGTTGGTATGTTTGGTTGATGTCCCGGTGGCCTCGGGTGTGTTTCGGGTGCTTAACGGATTGGTTAGGGACTTATGCCTTTGCTGAAGTTTGCTGCACCTGTTGTTTTCGCACCTGCGGATTTTGGACCGCAGGTGCGGTCCCGCAGAAGCGGCTAGGGAGCCGCAGAAGCGGATATGGACCTTGGAATCTGGGACCAAATGTGCGGCTGGGGGACCGCAGAAGCGGGCTCGCAAATGCGGCCCAGTGCCTGCAAATGCGGCCCCAGCCCAGTTATGTAGCTTTCGCACCTGAGATGATTCTTCCGCAGGTGCTGGACCGCAGATACGATCCTATGAGCGCAGAAGCGAAAATCGCTAGGCAAAAAAGGGGATTTCGAGGGTTTGAAATTTCATAACAAAAATTCAAGTTGGAGCTCGGTGGAAGGCGATTTTTCGAGGGATTTTGAAGGAGAGCTATTAGGTAACTAATCCTAACTCGATTTTGATCATATTACATTAATCTATTATTGTATTCTTCATCTAATTAAGGAATTTGAGGGTGGAAGTTTGGAAAATGGGGGAAAAGTTCCCCAATAAAAAATCTGAGGTTTGAGTGGGAAATAGGCGTCGGTTTTGGATGATTTTTGTATGAGTGAATTCGTGAGTGAGTGGGTGTTCATAATTTGTGACTTTTACCCGATCCCGAGACGTGGGCCCAGGGAGGATTTTTGGGCGTTTTTCTATTTTCTTGCCTTAGCCTTGAATTCATTAGCTAAATTAGTTGCTTGTAGCTATATTTACATTATGTAATTGATTTGATTAGATTTGGGCCACTCAGAGTTGGATACTCGTGGCAAGAGCGTGATTTCGGATTGATTTTAAGTTTGGTTCGAGGTAAGTGGCTTGCCTAACCTTGTGTAGGGGAACTCCCCTTAGGATTTGGTGCTATTGTTATATGAATGCCGTGTACGTGAGGTGACGAGTGCGTACACGTGCTGTTTGTTGAAAACCCCCGTTTTCATTAAGTAAATATCTATGTTTTTCCTTTAATTGAGCAATCTAGTATATNATAATACTTCCTCTCCTAATTTACATGATATACGTCCCCTTTTAGTTTGTTTTAGAAAGAATGTTTTACTTTTCTATATGTAAAAATAATTAAACTTCAAATTTCTCAATTTATCTTTAATAAGATGATTCATAACTATAACTATACAAATGCCTAAGGCTTATTTTATAGCACACATTTTATGTTTTTTATACTCTTATACCTAGTCAAATGGTGCCTCCACATAAATTGGTACATAAAGAATATGTAATTACACAATTATTGCTTGTATATACAAACAATGTTTTGAATCTATTTTGCTATGTGATTACTTGCCTAATAATCATATAACTTAGTAATTATACATTTGTGTCTAAACTCTAAACACCTCAAATAATAAGAATTAATGTGAGCCAAAGTCAAAGATAGAAAATAAGATGCAGTATGCTTGTTTTCCGTAAAAATAGCACGGTATAGCCAGTTTTCGGACTGGTCAATTAAAAATAGCTAGCGTTTACCAAGTCAATGAAAAATAGCCACTATTTTGCTGCAGTAGAGACCGGTCCAGCATAATATACTGGAGTTCGGTACACTTGTGTATGAACTCCAGCATATTATGCTGGACCGGTATACTTTGCTGGGTCCAGTATAATATACAGGAAACTGGAGCACCGGTACTCCAAATTCCAGTATATTATACTGGACCAATATACTTGCTGGAACTCCAGTATATTATGCTGGAGTTCTAGTGTACTTATGCTGGAACTCCATCATATTATGCTGGAGTTCCAGCATACTTATTCTGGAACTCCAGTATAATATGCTGGAGTTCAAGTATAATTATGCTGGAACTCCAGCATAATATACTGGAGTATTTTCCGGGTTTTGAACAGTGTTTTTGGTCAGATTTAACTTTATATAAAAAGTGGCTAAATTTCGATTACTTTTGAAATTTGACTATTTTTGAACGATCAGTTGTAAATCTGGCTATTTTTAAAATTTACCTCGTGTTTTGGCTTCAATAAAACGAAGAAAAAAAAAGCTTCTAAAGCAATGAAATTAAAATCTATATTTATTCTTGTTCCACAAATTCGTGGAGTACAAATATTGTCCATCCAAAGTCCAAAGTCCAAACATAATCCCATGACCTCCTGATCATTGTTGCAAAATGAGACTCTATTTATTAAGATAATAAAATAAACAATAAATGCTGGTATTTTGTGAATCTTGATTTTTTCTATTTTGAACAGCTGGAATGACTCTTCTTCTGTTCTCACTGTTCCAAAAAGGCATTTTTTTTTTCCTTGATTAGGAAAAGGATAAAGTACCTCTGCTTGCTCCTAGATAAAATATTGAAAAAAAGAAACAAGAAAAAGAACAATTAAATATAACTACGGTTTAACGTGCAATATGAAGATGATCATGCT